CCCTTCCAGAAACCTTGCTTACCAACACAGGCAGGCAAAATCTGAAAGCGAAACCTCCCTGTTCAGTGGTATTTCAGTGACATCAATAAATGCATGGGAAACAGCGCGGGGAGAGAGCGCAGCTCCCACCAACAGCGCTAATTGATGGGGGAACAGGGTGTGAAATACCGGCAGTTCTCCAGGAAGGGGGAGGTGGGTGTGAGAGCAAAGAGTTAACGGCTTACACCTGGGCATGGAAAGCTGTGCCAGTGAGGAAAGGAGGAGCAGGTGCTCCCGATAGCGGGCAGCTGAGCACCCACAGCAGCTTTTGCATCCCTCGGGAGAGGGACCCTGAGCGGGGCTGACGCGCCGACCCTCAGACGGCGCGAGGTTTTAATGCGTAACGGCGAGGAAACCTGGTCTGGTAATGAATAAGCGGGAGGGTAACATCCTTCTCTGCTCTTAGGAAATCGCTAGCTCTGGGAGGGGTCAGCTCTGGTATGTGAAGGCCGGTCACATGCTTTCAGGATTGGGAAAAAAAAAAAAGAAAGAGGAAAAAAAAGGAAGAAAAAAAAAAAAAAAAGAGAGGCTCGCGGGCTGCAAGTTCCTATGGGCTGCTGGGTGTCTGGATGTTTCGCCCCTGCTGTGCTCCACACCAGCTGCTGGCCGCGGTTTTAAACGCAGTAAGTCCTGGCGAGAGCTGTGCCCCCCCGGACAGCCTCCTGCTCTTCTGGAGGGCAGGGGAACATCGGCTGGGCCCTGGCTTATCCTGCAGGACAGGACCTTCCTGGCACAGCTAAGGTGCCCTTCCTGTGGGGCAGGTGGAGGAGGGATGCCTGGGGAGAGGGATGTGCAACTTGCCTTCCTTCGGTAGCAGTTGCAGCTCTTGGTGTCTTTTGGGGGTGTTAATCTCTTTCCTAGGTATTTAATGATCATTCCACTGGGAGAAAAACACATTTCAGCAGCTAACGTAGCCTGAAGTTTCTGCAGGTAAGAGTGGGAGAACTGAGAGAGGAGAGAAAGGGTGTGACTGGAGGGACAGCCTTGCTGTGTATGTAAAGATCCTGCATTTGGTGCCCTTGTCTCCAGTGTTATCCCTGCCGAGGTGTGCAGTCCCTGCCTTCATGCTCAGCCTCGGTGTGAGGGGTCAGTGCAGAGACATGAAGGAAAACTGTTTGCAAGGTGCTGCTCAGGCATCGAGCCTGAGTTGGCGTTGCCTGAACAAGGCGTAGTAACTTACACCAAATCAGAGGGGGAGGAAGGGGTTGTATTTCTAGAGCAGTAAGATATACCTGAGGGAAAAGTGAGTTATCTTTGCTATGTATGCAGTGAGCAACAGGGCATCAATGTGTCTAGAAGTAAAGTATGGTGTTCTCTTGGTGATGATCCCTGTTTTTCTTTTCTACTTTCAGACTTAAAAGACTTTTTAAAAATCTTTTTTTTTTTTAATGCATTCTTTATAGCAGACTCCTGATTCCCTCATCCCATGTATGCTACAGTCAGGACACGAACTTAACAAACTAAAAAACTTTTAGCACTTATTTTCCTGACTTATCTTGGAAGCTGTGGTCTCTGCTGGTAGGACACCACTCAAGATTTTTCTAAATCCAGAGATAAGAAAAAAATCTGTATTGCAGCTCCTAATCATTAAAAACACTAAGTATTTGCCACCTGCCATCATCTACAAAGAATTGCTGGTGCTCAGCAAATTCTGCCCATCCTGTTGTTCTGTATGTTTGTTTGTTTTTCCCTAGAGATGCAAAAACAAATGTAGTCACATATGTATTCTTTTGTAATTCAAGATGGGGGGAAGTAAGCAATATCCCTAAAGCAGTCTGGTGATACTCAGAATAAATGCACCAGAGTGTAGTCTGTAGTTTCCGATGGCTGCCAGGTTACTTGTAATGGTTTGTGCCTCTCAAAGTAGTTAAAATACTTGTGTTCTTTTTTTCTGTGTGTGGGTCATTTCCAGCAGTTTCCCAGTTGGCACTCTGCTTATTCCTTCTTTGAGAAAATAAACTGTGTTGACAGATAAACTCAGTTTTGTTCCCTGTCTCCAGGTTGATTCTCTGCATCTCCTCCCAGTTTATCAGCATCCTGCATGATAGTTAAACTTCTAGTTTTGAATTTGCACTCTGATATTGTTGTCCAAAGTTGCTTGTGTTTGATTTTTCAATTATATGAGATTCAGTACTTACATATCCTAACACATAACCTTTATTAATTCATTTCGTTAGTCTATCCAACAACAATCTGTTAGAACTATTTTCCCCTTTGAAGACTTGCCTTGTGACCTGGTAGAATATTTTCATTTAGTGTGAAACTGCCACTTAGTGAACAACTGCCCTTGTTCCTAAGCACATGTTTTTTGGCCTTCAGATGTGCCTCAGCCCATGACAGACTCTGGGGCCTAGGAAGCTAGGGCTGCCAGGGGGTGGTACTTCATGTTTGC